CTTCGGAGAAGATGAGGAACAGGTATTTGAGTGTTTCAGCCAAGAAGAAGCTCTGCTGTATGTCATCGTGGGACGAGGTCGGCTCGTAGACGTTCATTATTCCAGCATAACCTCCGTCCACACGACAGTACTTCTCCAAAGCCTGTTTGAAACAGTCAAAACAGTTTATGAATTGTCATTAACAAATGTAACAGATGGAAGGTAAATGTTAAAGAGCTTTCATGCTGTATAAGGGTAAACATCTGTGTCTGTGATTTAGGCATCGCAGATGTGATTCATAATACCAATATACCTGGTTTAATTCCATCTGCAGGCCATATGGCAGCAGACCGCTTTGTGTTGATTACAACAATGGTATGCAGAGCTGACCACAATAGTATGCAGCGCTGACCATTCAGAAGCAATTGCAACACAGACAATAAGGGTAATGTGAAGGGTACACAACTAACTCAGCAGCGGGATACATACAACAACCAAACAAATCTGGGGAGTTGGTCAGTTGGTTCCTATCCCTGTGGCATCTTCAACATCTTCATTCTGAAATCTGAATGCCCTATGTGGATTCCAGGGCCCGAGAGAGAGGGGAGAGACAGAGAGGAAAGAGAGAGTGTGTGTGTGTGTGTGTGTGCACTGCTCTAGGAGAATTCTAGCACTCAACCCCGGGCCCTAAATCGTGAATTATTATTTGCACTTATGGCAATTCCCCCCCCCCCCCCCCCCCCCCCCAATCTGATTCATAAATCAACTGCTTTAATCATAATTAATTGTATTTCCCGTGTTATTACTTTCTGTTTTCTGTTGTTTTTTTTGTGTGTTTTTTTTTAAATAATACTTTAGTGAAAGTGCTAAGAGCTGCAATTTAAAATTGACATTTAAAAAAATTTAGGTGTTGAACGTATGACCTTTCGATTGTAAGGCAGATGTGATATCAACTACACCAGACATTCATGTGTAAATGAGAGCTGAAAATATGACCAGTTTTGTACACTGTGAGAGAAAGACACATTTATGTCTATTGTATAGTTATATCAGAAATATGAATTTTAATTATGATGTCAGTACACACAACTTCCTGTAGCTTCTGTATGTGACCATATCCTCTTCTTGATCATTGGGAATCCATTTCAATCCACTCGATGTAAATGGCTGGGTCAGATGGACGGTCTTGCTCACAGCCAGAAGTACACAAGTCCGCCGGCATGCAGTGAAAATAATCCACCTCACAGACCACACATTTCAAAGAAACTCCATTAATCCTTCATCAACTTTAACAAATTTTCTAGCTTTTTCACATTTAAAAAAAAAGGAGACTAACGCAAAACCAGAAATAAATTTCAGAGCAAAAAATACACAGTTCACCGACCACGCTTCTATGGGAAACAAAGCAACAGGATAACATGGAACGCTTCTAAATACACCTAAACACATGTGTTAAGGGTTTTAATTGTATGTAAAAGGGTTAAAATTCATCAGATTTAGGTAATGTGTATCATCCCCGAAAACTATGGTCCTTAGCAATCTGTAAGAAAAGTCAAAAGCTTATAATCACGACCGTAGCAGAGAGGGCACAGAAAACAGAAGACGCATTATTACAACTTTAGCAGTCTATGGGACAGACATATATAGCAGTGAAAGGGTTAACTAGCCCTTATTTTTAGGGTAGAGCTTACACTAAAAGAAAACCTCATGAAAATCATGCTATGGTTTATTTTAGGGGTAGGTCTTATTTTCGGGAAAACACAGTATAAGAAGACATATATTACTATTATCTATAGTAAGAAAAACAGACTAAAGAAACAACGTTCTTCAGCAACAACAAAAACAACAGCAACAAAGACAAAGGCATGGAGCACCTACTTGCACCACACCCCAGGCCCAGTCTCGATACTTCTGTTTCTTGGTTAACCTCCACAAGTAGAACCAGCTTTCCAGGGCTTCCGGCCGCAGAATGTACATCTTCTCAATGTACTTGATCGCCTTGGCTTCTGTAGGTCCTTCGAAGCGGAACGCGTCTGGCCCTAGGCCTGTGGCTACAATACAAAAAATATAATGGCAGGTATTAGGCAGCTTCAGTAATGCTAGGAGGGACTTGATGAAACATACCTGTATCTTTTCTGTTTCTTTCTCTCTCCTTCCATCCACCTTCCTTTCTCTCCCTCACTCATTCCCCCTCCCCCAGCCCCTCTCGATGTAAATGCACAAGTGTGTACTGCTCATACTTCAAGTAAAGGACCATTTTCCAGGCCTACTGGGCAAATACTGTCTGACCTATATTTTACAGACCAAACACCACTGGGTGAGTGACGTGGTCAACATCACACCAGCCACGTTTACTTCCCAGGACTTTTCCTGGGCGGCGTCCGTGGCTAAGGCGTTGCGAGTCTGACTCGTAATCCAACGTACCGCGATCGAAACCTTCGTGGGCTGCGTGGATTTTTATCGTGGTATGGGACGTCGCAGGTCGACCCAGCCTCAAATGGGTACCAGGATGGGCTGTCCTGGGAAAGTAAAGACGGCTGGCGTAATGCTGAAGACATTACCCACTGAGTGCCGATTGGTCTGTAAAAATATGGGTGCTCTTCCCATATGCCCGATGCGCCTAAGGGCGTGTAAAGGGATCTTTACTTTACTTTACTTTTTACTTTTCCTGGTCCCATTTATGGCTGGGTTGACTTGGAGCCAAAGTCTGATTTTTTTCTTAAGTGCAGCTCAGTTTAGATTTGAACCCATGACCTTCGGTCCAAAGATGAGTATCTAGCCACTACATCACGCCAGTGCCCTCTACACGTACTAATGGAATTTATATATATGATATTTATTCATTTATTTTTTTATAACTTATGTTGCCTAAACGGGGTATCAAGTCATGTCATAGAGGATGAACATAGCTGATGTGATGCAGACCAAATCACCCACCAAGTGCCAACTCGTCTATAACAAATATGAGTCTGCTAAACTCTCCTCCACCAAATAAAATCAACATGAAAGACTACAAATGAATTACCTCCGTATCCCTGTCTAGACTGATGGACATGGGGGTGCAGCCTGGAGCTGCAAGAAATGAATATTTCACTAAGGGGACAAGACGTTTCATTAACCAACACAGAACAGGCGTCATCAGTCGTTTTACACTTATGGAGTTTTTGAGGAGGAAATCGGAGCATCTATGGATCTGTCCAGAGTGCTGTGATGATAATCCTTTCTAATCACTTATCACTAAATAAATTACCTGTTTGGGTGTATGATTCATGGCAGGTGTGAGCTAGCTCCTCCCCAATTTTCAGGTATTTGTCTTTGTTCTCTGATCCTTCAGCTCCAAGCGCAACCATCCCAGCTGACGGTAAAAACACACTTACAGTATTTACTACATGTTGATGACAGTAATAAAGATCAGAGATCAAAGTCTAAAACAAGTGCAAGAATTGTGTTACCTGGAAAGCATCTTTACACACATTGGTAAAATAGAGAGAAGGATAGACAAAAGAATCCAACAAGCCTACAATGTCACACACCAACTTGCTCCAATTTTAAAACACCCTGCTATCCCAATAGGGACAAAAAGACAAATTATAAATACAATATTTATACCGACTTTAGGTCACCAATGTCAGACTTTGACACAGAGAAAGAACCTAAGAGAAAAGTAACCACCTGTGAGATGAGATGTTTGAGAATGGCTGTGAATAAAAACCAGAAGAGATCAAGTGAGAAACGACGTGATCACAAGAACTGTTGGAACAACACCCATCTTCACATTTATTGAGAAACAAAGAATGAAATTGTTTAGCCATTTGATGAGAATGAAACCAACGATGCCAGCAGCAAGAGCATACAACCTAAAAATAGAAACACCAAGAGGCAGGGGAAGACCCAGAAGAATATGGAATGAATGAGTCATTGATACCTTGAGACTGCATAACATCATGGCACATCAAATGACCAAGCGTGACCTGGCTCGGCTGCCAATCGTCTGATGAACTGCGATGCCTAGCGGCATAAGCAGATATTGACAAAAAAGAAGATGACAGTAAGGCTCTTACTTTTCTTTTTTCTCATCTTCGCCCTTTTCTTCTTTATCCCATTCTTCTTTATCTTCTTCTTCTTATTCATCCTCTTCACCTTCTTCTTCTTAATTTTTTTCTTCATTTTCTTCTTCTTTTTCTCCCTCTTCTTCTTCTTTTTCTTTATTTCTGCCTTGTTCATTTTCTTCTTCTTCTTTCTTTTTCTTCTTCTTCTTCTTCCTTTTCTTCTTCTTCATCTTTTTCCTTGTCACTTTTTCTTATTCTTCTTTACCTTCTTCTTCTTCTTTTTTCTTCACCTTAATTTTTTTCTTCAGATCAACTGGTCTTGTTCAGACATCTTCAGCCATCAACTGCCTGTGTCATCCGACATTTTAATTAGTTTTTTCAACTTGTTTTGTGCTTGTTATACTTGCAGATGGGCATCAAGTCAATGTCTGAACATTTACGTTTTATCTATACAGCTACAGTTTTTATAAAATAGTTGGGGGGGGGGGGGGGGGTCTACAGGATATGTTAAAATCTATAAAGTAAAGAGCGTCTGTAAATTCAGGGTGAGTTTCAGGGTAACTCTTATAAAGTGTGGGTAGATCTGCAAATCCATGTCAGATCCATACAGCATGAGTAAATTTGTAAATTCAAGTCTACAAAGTCTGGGTAAGTCTGTACTGTCTGGGTGTCAATAAAGTCCGAGTAAATCTGCAGGCTAAATGTGGTTAAAGACAAGGTTAGTCTGAAAATTTGTGTAGAGTAAGTAAACTAATAAGGTGTCAAATTCGTCTCTGTTTCAAATATAATATGCCAGATGGCAAATCCCCACCAGAAAAACATGCCAGGGAGTAGTTCCTCTATCAGAAAAAACATGCCCGATAGTAAGTTCCCCAACCAGAAAAATATGCCAGGTGGCAAATCCCAAATCAGAAAAACAAACCAAACAGCAAGTATTAACCAGAAAAACATGCCAGATGGCAACTAACCTACCAGAAAAACATGCCAGATGATCCATTTTGTGCTCCAGCCGACCATTCCGGAACTCAGCAAAGTAGGTCAGACCTCCTTTAGATTTGACCAGCATCCTCTCAAAGACAGCCTGTAACGTCATCAGGTGTGGAATAAAGAACAAACAACCTCTCAACTTATTCCCATGGGGGTTCTAGGGATTAAAACAAAGAACAGACCCACTGCCTCCCTAACCAGCACATCGTACAAGGGATGAGGGATGTTTCCTTAGAAGTCGAAGTGTGTCTGCCTGACAGGCCAGGAACCAACAGTATGCATACAAAAAAAAAAGTCAGGTCTGTAAAACAAATGTGCATGCAAAACTCAAGTGCTGGAACAAGAAGAAAGTCCAGAAATGGATGAACAACCAAAATTGCTCCCAGAGTCTACAGTTGGGGAATCCTAAGAAGAAGATCCCAGCTCAGAGTTCAAAATATGCAACATGTGAATGCAAATAGAGATGAGTGCGGTCAGTGTCTCACAGTCTGACTGTTGGTCTCAGTTCTTGCCGAGCAAAATCATACTGCACATTTTAGTAGTAGTTCTAGAAATAAACTTGACAATTCCATCAATAACCACATCATTTAATTCTTTATAAACAAAAATGTTGGCTTTCTATTCTCCTCTAACTCTTTCCGGACATATCGCTGTTTAGTTGGTGGCAGAATCGGTCAGGTCTGACACACTGTTGTTTAAGTGGTTGCTGCACAGACACTCCAATATTGTTTCGTTTGCTGGGTAAATGAATTTGTATGAACCTGTCCAGGAAAACTAGAATAAGTGAAATGAAGCATTTGTGTTAAAGCATGACGGAGTAACAGGATTAGGTTTCTTGTTTTACTTTAATTAAATCAATGCATTACCCTTGTTTGTTTTTTTTTTGTTTTTTTGGTGACTTTCCTAAAATGGACCTTCCAACCCTTTTAACTTCCAGAGTTCAGAGAACTCAAATAATGACCAAAACTCATAATTGAGATCTTAAGTAGCAGTTGTTAGATGAAGAAACAGGTAGAGTGATGATTTAGATTCCTACAATATGGGGGGGTTGAAGTTGAAAAAAATGTTTCAATCCGATTGTTCCTGTTTCAATCAGCTGTGTTTGCTTGTTCTGAAATTTGGTTTGTCACTCAAAAATGGTCACAAAATCTAAAGTATTTAGACTAATTATTTCGAATAAAGACTAGCTAATGCACAACTGAACAGAGAAGGATTGTGCATTCTTAGCAATGGACAGCAGTTTTGATTATGTTTAAAAAAAAATTATTTAAAAAAACAGTGTACAAAATGTCATGCGTCACCAATCTTCATGTGTGTCTTAAATATTTGAATGTGGTGACATTTTAATATTTTGTTAGTATCTATATGTGTTGCATTACTGATCCTTAAACAGCTTAAATGTATTCTGCATTCATTTCTCTATAATTTGTTATATTATTTGTCACTATCCAGCAAATACATTTTCTTCAGGAAGGTTTTAGCTTTAACAAGCTGCAGTAAAACAAATTCAACTCAAAACTGATTCTGTCCAAACCACAGAACAAAATTTCGACCTGAGAACATTAATTTAAAAAAACAAACTGTTGTAGTGATAAAGTCTTTTTTTTTTTTTTTTTTTTTTATGAGACAAGCAATGATAGTAATGTTATATGACAACCAATGGCATACATATCACCTGACCGCCAATTATATTCATCTGAGACAACCAACAGTTTCATACTACCAGACAGCCAATAATTTTCATGATATAAGAAGACCAACAGTATACTACCAGAAAGCTAATGAGAAAACCAATAGCATACTTCTTACCAAAAAGCTAATGGAAAAACCAACCGTATAATTCTTACCAGAAAGCTAATGAGAAAACCAACAGCATACTTTTTACTAGAAAGCTAATGAGAAAACCAACAGCATACTTTTTACTAGAAAGCTAATGAGAAAACCAACAGCATACTTTTTACTAGAAAGCTAATGAGAAAACCAACAGCATACTTTTTACTAGAAAGCTAATGAGAAAACCAACAATATAATTCTAACCAGAAAGCTAATGAGAAAACCAATAGCGTACTTCTTACCAGAAAGCTAATGAGAAAACCAATAGCATACTCCTTACCAGAAGCTAATGAGAAAACCAATAGCATACTTCTTACCAGAAACTAATGAGGAAACCAATAGCATACTTCTTACCAGAAGCTAATGAGAAAACCAATAGCATACTTCTTACCAGAAAGCTAATGAGGAAACCAATAGCATACTTCTTACCAGAAAGCTAATGAGAAAACTAATAGCATACTTCTTACCAGAAAGCTAATGAGGAAACCAATAGCATACTTCTTACCAGAAAGCTAATGAGGAAATCAATAGCATACTTCTTACCAGAAAGCTAATGAGGAAACTAATAGCATACTTCTTACCAGAAAGCTAATGAGGAAACTAATAGCATACTTCTTACCAGAAAGATAATGAGGAAACTAATAGCATACGTCTTACCAGAAAGCTAATGAGAAAACTAATAGCATACTTCTTACCAGAAAGCTAATGAGAAAACTAATAGCATACTTCTTACCAGAAAGATAATGAGGAAACCAATAGCATACTTCTTACCAGAAAGATAATGAGGAAACTAATAGCATACTTCTTACCAGAAAGCTAATGAGGAAACCAATAGCATACTTCTTACCAGAAAGATAATGAGGAAACTAATAGCATACTTCTTACCAGAAAGCTAATGAGGAAACCAATAGCATACTTCTTACCAGAAAGCTTATGAGGAAACCAATAGCATACTTCTTACCAGAAAGCTTATGAGACAACCAATAGCATTCAAAGTTAACTAACAGCCAATGGCAAACACACAAACAGCAGTAGCTACCTTCATGGCATCATCATACATCTGTCTGACTTCAGTGTCCGTTTTGTTGGACATCAGCCATTGCTTCAGTAGGTACTCATAGAAGCTATCCCCAAGGGCACCCATGCTGACATGATCTGGACACAGACATGGCCATAATCATTCAATCAGTCAACATGCCCTTTACAGAACATCACTTTCTGAATCTTCATGGCATGCCTAAAATTCGCTCACTCTTTGGCCAATTCTCTCAGCCCTGTGTGCTTTTATAGCTAATGCATCCTTAATGTGATGTATGAGCGCCTTCGCAGTGGTTGGCCTCTGCCTTGCTTTCCAAACACTGCACCCTCCATCACCATTCTCTCTAGACCACCACGGTGCTTGAAATGTCCAAAATAGCTCAACTTTTGGGAGAGGATGTTGTTTATGAGCCAGTTCTCCTTGATGTTCAGGTCATGCAAGATGTTGAAATTTTTCTTATTCTTAATCCTTGGTATTCTAAGAACTTTTCGTAGCATTTCGGTTCAAAGGATCTTTTTTTTTTTCAAAGACTGAGTGACAGTCCACAACTCACATCCATAAGTTGCCAAGGGAAAGATACATGATCTGAACATTTTTACTTTAAACTGACAGCAGGTGCTATACCACAGGTTTTTCATGCTGTTTAGCCTCTGCAGTGCTAAAACAAGTCTTCTTCTGACTTCTTGTGTGCTGTCAACATGACCACATTGAGAAGAATGCTTTTATGGGTATAGAAAGTAATACCTGTATGCATGAAACAAATCTATAGATGAAAAAACTCCTGTATTCATGGGAAAAAACACTTTTCCTACAAATTTAATCACAAACATACAAAAACTATATGTCCCCGTGTAGGTTCTGGGGCCCAAATATGGGGGAGAATAGAACAGGACAGGCCAAAACTGCATTTTATAAAATATGGAGAACATTTTGTGCAATAAATCCATGTCATTGAAGGTTAGGAAAAGAATTCTCGATCCCAGCTGCGGATAATTTATCTTGCATTGGTTTCGATAGTGGTACTGAAAGCTGACCATTCAGAAGGCAATGGCAAACTACTGAACGTAAAATTTGCCTAGGAAAACTTAAACAGCCAAACAATGTTGGGGTTGGTTCTGCAACGTCCTGTAAAGGATACGCAACCAACTTTTATACAGAGCCAGATTCACCATATGGCTGTGAAAGCCTGGACAATTAACAAGCTGAACAATATCTTGAGGCCTCGGAGATGTGGTTTTATAGAAGAATCCTTAGAATTCCTTGGATAGCTAAGAAGAGCAACCCAGATGTTTTGAAAGTGGTGAAGACAACTTATCACAAACAGAAAGAGACAGTCATAATTTGTTGGTCATGTTATGAGAAGAAGGGAACTGGAACATGTTGTGACCACAGATCTGTGGAAAGAGAGACAGAGGAAGACAGCGTGAGAAGAGTCTTGACAGTCTTTTGTCATGACAGGGAGGGGTGTCAAGACATGAACTGGTACATGCAGCTGCAGATTGCATATTGTGGAGAGGCATGATCACCCACACCAGTCAGCGAGGTATTTGATAAATATGATGCATGTGGGGGAAAGAATAAACCCGCTGCCTAACTTAAAGCATGTCATAAGAGTCGGCTAAATGGGAACTTTATTTGAAGTTCAAGTACATCTGCTTGGGAGGCAAGGAACCTTACAAATGAGTCAGATCTGTAACATGAATGTGCACGACCACTCAGGTCTGTAACATAAATGTGCACGCAACACTCAGATTCTGGAACAGGATTTGAGTCCAGAAGTGGACAAACAACCAGAACTTTCCGGCTGGTAAATGCAAAGAAGAAGTAAAAGAAAAATATACGTAAATTAAACAAAGACATGAGAAGAAAAAGAAAATGGTCATCATCACTGGAAAATGCTATCAAAGTAAGAAGATAGAGATGGGTTAGAAATGCTTGCAGAATGCCTTATATATAATAAATAAACAGACAAGATATTGTCTGGCACTCACACAAAGAAGTAGAAAAATAGAAGGACAACAGTTACCGAGCCAGGAATCAAAACTGTCACCATGAAACCGACCAGTCAAATCTCTTTCTTAAATGTTTGTTGTATTACAGACACAGTTATATGGTCCAATATGGCTATACTTGTTGTTGTGTTTGTTATTTGACCTATGCTTGGTTAATATACATTTCTGTAACCCATGGTACCATTTCAATGGTTTGAGATGAATTCTGTCCATATTCCATAGTTGTGGATTTCAAGCTGTATAACAGAGATGGCCAATGAAGACACCTTTTCTGGGGTGCGTAGTTGGCCATGTATCTTAGTACACTTGTCTCCACAGCGAGCTGCACACGCTGTTTGGAGGTGACAGGTGTGATTCCTAGCATGGTAACCATAGCTTTTAATTGTTATGTTGTCTAGTGTGTTCTTCTATCTTTCTACTTCTTTCTCTGAGTGCCAAACAATACACTGTTCGCTTTATACATACAATGTTTCTAGTGCCTCAAGGATTCCCTACTATTTATTTGCAGAATGCCTTATGTCACCTCTCCAGCAGATAGTAGATGGAAAAAAAGATGTGGACGACCTAAAAAAACGGAGGCGGACAGTAAAGGGAAAGAAGGAATGCAAAATGACACGGGGTACCATAGGCAGAAAAAAAAGCAGATCGACAGCGGTGGAGATTTATTGTGAATGTCGTACATCTCAACAGCAACACAAAGAGGAAACAGATAGACATAAAGTAAACTAAAGTAAAGGACCCTTTACCCCGCTTTAGGGCCTATTGGGTAAATAGGGCTAGACCTATATTTTTATAGACCAATCAGCACCCAATGGGTGATGTGGTCAACATCCCACCGGCAGCCTTTACTTCCAGGACTTTACCTGGTACTTATTTAAGCCTGGGTGGGTCTAACAACCAATGTACCGCAGCCTTTACTTCCAGGACTTTACCTGGTACTTATTTAAGCCTGGGTGGGTCTAACAACCAATGTACCGCAGCCTTTACTTCCAGGACTTTACCTGGTACTAATTTAAGCCTGGGTGGGTCTAACAACCAATGTACCGCAGCCTTTACTTCCAGGACTTTACCTGGTACTTATTTAAGGCTGGGTCTAGCAACCAATGTACTGCAGCCTTTACTTCCAGGACTTTACCTGGTACTTATTTAAGCCTGGGTGGGTCTAGCAACCAATGACATTTCTGACAAAAGTCTGCTTCCATCAAGACCTGGAACCACAACCTTCAGATCAGCAGGTGAGTGTCTAGCCGTACACCATAGATGCTACGCATAGATAGATTTATCACTTAAAAAATTGAAATAAATTTCATTCACAGTTATCCAATGGGAGTGTACACATGTTTTGTTTCAACGGTAAAGACTGACTGACTGAATGAAATTTTATCCCATTAGGACATCACACCCGGTGACACAAAGTGCCACCATTCGGATTTGGATCACCCGGGGACAGGTTCCAGAAACCCAGTTCAACCCATAGGCTGGGCTATATTAGGGCCCTCGGCAACAGTCAGGGTGTTGCTTCAAAATAATGAAAAGAATGTGCCCCATATGGGGGATGGACATTTTTAGTTGAAACTAGTCCAGACTTACTCTGTCCCCACTTGCCAGTGACTGGGTGTAAGTAGTTTGGGTATAAACCATCAGGTTTTTCCAGGTCTTTCAGAAATCTTCGTATTCTCATCACCTGCAAACAAACAAAACAAACTCACTCACCCAGACCACTTGTCTCATTTACAAACTGTACTTCTGACTTGTATTACCAGCTTTCTCAGACAGTAAAATGTGTGACTGTGTCACAAACTGCATTTGAAAAAATGTTACGGCCCTTAACAACTTCAGAAGTTGTATAAAGAATAAAAAGGTGTATTCTAAAATATCTGAACATCAAGGAAGACTAATAAATGGCACCTTGTCTCAAATAATACATTCAGAGTAACAAAGTTATGATCATAGTAGTAGTAGAAATAACAGCAACAAAAACACCAATAACAATAATAGCAGTAATAAAAACAAAAATATAAAACAATAATAAAAATAACATTTAAAATAAAATAAAGAATAATTATTATTATTTAAATAAGTGGTCTACAACCTTTTTCAGGTGCCCCCCCCCCCCCCCCTCTCTCTCTCTTCTCTCTCTTGAGTATATGGCAAGATCACCCACGGCTCCCCCCCCCCCCCCCCCCCCCCCAATAACAAAAAGAAAAATCCCAAGTATTGTTAATAACAACTTGGAGAAACACATCCACATGAACCAACCTGTCAAATAGCAAAAGAGACAATGAGCAAACAACTGGTAATTTAGTGTCCTCACATCAATGTGATGGTTGACACTGTTTTGTCTTGATGATATCTTAAATGTTTGGGTCTGATGTTGGACACGGCACAACAGAGATCACTCTCCCCATCATGCTGGCAAAGCTGTTTTGTTTTCATGACTGTTAGAGCTAAAAATTCAGATTATTACAAGTACAGATGCACTCAGTTTCAAAATTGCTTGATGCCACCTTTTGGAACTTCCTCATGCCCCCTTCAGGTGGCAACTATACCCCACATCAAGTTGGAAACCACTGATTGAGATGAAGTATGCTGAACATTGCTATCTGCTGTGCTCAGAACATCTAAACTATGAATAAAGTGATTTTCCAAACCGAAATGTGTGGCGTGATCACCAGAATAAGATTTTACGGCAGTGATAGAGATAACATTTTTGCCTCTGTGGTCAGAACTTTTGAAATGGAGAGAGACTGGTCAGAGTTCCTCCTTGTAAATATCCAGAGATGTTCCTGTACCTGATCAGCTAGCTTCCCGCCAGTTTCTCTAATGTATGTCTTTTTGTATCTTTTACAGAGGCTAGCATAGATTTAAGTCTCAGGATTCACAAGTAAATGCTTAATTAATCTGCAATGAACCATTCAAGTAACTGACCGATGAGGTCTGGATAACAAATAGGGATGTTCTGCACCTAGTGCAGGAGCATTTCATATTTCCAAAAGTGCCGGATAAATTGGTGGGAGTCTTGATAATCTCTTTTAGACTGCGTCTTGCCTGTAGAGTATGCTGGGTTTCTCATGAAAAATTCCTCCAGATGTGTGGATAGAGAGGAGTATATTCAAGTGGTGATGGAATAATCTGGAAGCACCCACATTGATCAGATGGAAAATTATTATCAATTTGTGTCTATTGTTAGTGGAGTTGCATTTGGGGGGCAATGTGTTTCTCTGGGTGGAGGGTAATACTACTTTTTTTTTTCAGAGCCTCTTACAGGGTATGTTCAGGATTCAAGCTGGTAGAAGTCAGGAAATTCATACGCCTTGCTTAAGAAATCAGTCATTAGTGTACAGTCGTCACAGTAAATAAGTGAGCTGGGAAACTGGGTACAAAATCTGTCTGATATATCATTCTGAGTGGGAAACCAGGAATATAGTAAAATGCATATGTGTTTATTAATCAATTTTCCTTGATTTTCTGATGTCTTACAGTGTCAGCATGTCTTTTCTTCTTTGTCCAGGGTATTCTAAGAATCTTTCTATAGTACTTCAGCTCAGAAGACTTTTTTTTTTTCTTGACTGCTCAATACAAAGAGAAAAACACCAACCTTATCCTTGTAAACACTATCTCCTGTGACAGCAGAAAGGTAATCAAACTCCAGATGCAGGGAGCCGACTTCTGCCAGAACAGAACTGCCACCAGACACCCACCCATAGTTATGAGTTGACCCGCTGCCAAAAGAGATAGACATGGTGAGCAATAATGAATCAACTGAAACGGTTGAGACGGTGTGGGCCAAAAGCCTCAAACATGATGATGATTATGATTTTCCTCTGACTCGGATGAGGAGACTAGATCAGTGTTCCTCAACCTTTTTTTTTTTACACCCGCGGCCCATCAAAACAGGTGAACACTGTTTTCAGAGCCCGGCCCACCAACAAAACAGGTGAACACTGTTTTCAGAGCCCAGCCCACCAACAAAACAAGTGAACACTGTTTTCAGAGCCCGGCCCACCAACAAAACAGGTGAACATTGTTTTCAGTGGCCCACCAAAACAGGTGAACACTGTTTTCAGAGCCTGGCCCACCAACAAAATCTGTGAACATTGTTTTCAGTGGCCCACCAAAACAGGTGAACACTGTTTTCAGAGCTCGGCCCACCAACAAAACAGGTGAACATTGTTTTCAGTGGCCCACCAAAACAGGTGAACATTGTTTTCAGAGTCCGGCCTACCAAAACAGGTGAACATTGTTTTCAGAGCCCGGCCTACCAAAAACAGGTGAACACTGTTTTCAGAGCCCGGCCCACCAAAACAGGTGAACATTGTTTTCAGAGCCTGGCCCACCAACAAAACAGGTGAACCTTGTACTCAGAGCCCACCTGACTACTAATCAAACACAGAAACTAAAGCAAATGTCGGGTCCCTAATATAACTATTTTATGCGGTTGATGAGATATCTGGAATTTGTACCTGTTTGATTCTCATCTTTGAGGTTTTCATCCCACAGACTGCAATCCTGAAAGAGAAAAACTATCTATCCTACCCCGTTACATGATGATTAGGCCGAACATTTCGGCAACTATCCTGAACTTTCTCGCTGCCCACGGTTTGAAGAACACTGGAGAAAAACCAGAGCATTTATGGGTGTGCCATAAGGATGATCTTAGTGATTAGTGAGGACCATGATCACAGCACTCTAGACAGGGTTCATAAGTGCTCCGAACTCCTCCTTAAATGCTCCACAAGTGTAAAATGACTGATGACACCTGTTCTGTGTTGATTAATCAAAATGAAATGAGCAATGAATGTGCAGGATATTCAAGTGCATGGAGATGAGCAGGCTGATAATTTAGCTGGTGCCGCAGCTCTGGGTGGTAAGCTAATTTATAATAAAGGGGATATGAATACTATGTGGGAACAAGTGGACAGTGTAACAGAACAGAGTATCCATACATGGAGAGACTAATCTTCTTCTTCTTCTTCGCGTTCACAAGCTGTACACTTTGGCAGAAAGTTCTGGTTGCTCGTCCACTACTGAACTGCAGTCCTGCTCCAGAACCTGAGTGTTGCGTGTGCATCAGTTTACAGATCTCATTCTCTTGAATACAGACTGTTGGTTCCTTGCCTCTCCAGCAGATGCACTCCGACTTTAAAGGAAGCTCCCAAATTAGTCGACTCTTACGACATGCTTTTGGGAAGGCAGTGGGTCTATTCTTGTTTTCCCCTACAATGGGGCCCCAGAACCCACACGGGGGGGGGGGGAGACTAATGATACAGCAAGGTGATGAAGACGTACTGACCTACTGAATCGACAATAAACTCCTAGACGTTTCCACCTAAAGAGGAACTCCAAAATAAATGTAACTCTTAACAGTGTAATCATAAAAGCTAGTTATTGCAAGAAGAAGAAACATCACCTATGTTCTAACCACTTTTTTGTGTGGTGTCTCTACAAAGAAGGTTGGCAGAGAGGGTGGGAAAGATATTCAACACTGAGGGAAAAACACAGGCGGACTTTTATTTAGGTTGCAACTGGTACTATTAGCATGTTGACTCTTTGGCTACTGAGGAAGCAGACGGAGCAGGTGTGGGAATGTCCTGAGCAAGGGTTGTCAGTTCTTCATTCATTTAATCATATGAAATTATTCAAGCAAACACCCCTTTGATGTGTCTTCACTTGGCCTGTATGTTTCAAGAGAGTGATACTGACAGTAACTTAGTAGATTAGCTACTGGTAGGGTCTCCCACTTGGAGAATGTCTTCTGATGCTATACCATTCAAGGCATATACCAACAGAGGAGAGGGACGTACAGCAAGAGGTAGACCAAGAACAACATGGAGGGATAACATCAGAGAAACTCTATAGTATCACAATGTGTCTTTGATCGAAGCAGCCAGAAAAGCATGCAGCAGGACCCTTTATCTCCCTCGACACCTGAAGCGGTAAAAGAGGACATAAAGAAGAAGAAGGGTCTCCTATGCCGGTCAAGAGAGAGGAAGCAGGCAAAGAGGAACACATCTTTGTTGACTTGCAAGTAGAGTAGGGACAGTCTGAGGCTACGGAAAACAATCCCAAAATTGCTTGTCAAAACAGGACACCCTGAGCGACAGGTCTGTCGAAACAGTGCAACATAACTCACTTCATGGGAACATCATGAGGATTCAAGTAATAAAAATAATGCTTCTGTAGGTTCACCTGTTAGAGGTTCTACTCACGTTTTAGGATTAATGACAGCTAGAGGCACACCAGTTTCTGTCTTGAACGCTGGCAATAATCTGTCCGCTATGTCTTTTGCTTTGATCTTGAACATCTAAAGATAAAACGTATAGCTGTGTGAGAGAGAGAGAGAGAGAGAGAGAGAGAGAGAGAGAGAGAGAGAGAGAGAGAGAGAGAGAGAGAGAGAGAGAGAGAGAGAGAGAGAGGAGGGAGGGAGGGAGGGAGGGAGAGAGAGAGAGAGAGAGAGAGAGAGAGAGAGAGAGAGAGAGAGAGAGAGAGAGAGAGAGAGAGAGAGAGAGAGAGAGAGAGAGAGAGAGACAACAAGGTGGAGGCAGAAACAGATTATCCTGGTCTGAAGAGAATGGTGCAGTGGGCAGCACCAGTCGATCTAGCCGACACTCTGTAAGATAAAAGGCAAGGGGTGGGGGGTGGGGGTAAACAATCAAACTGACACTGGTACCATCACAACTGGCTGCTGAAGATGGGGATGAGGTGTTTAAGGGAATGTCTGAAGTGCTATGGTGTTGGTTCTTAACGCAACTAAATTCTATCCAACATAACTTCCCCTCTCAGAAGTCAACCTTATATTATTAAATTAATTTTGTTTTTGTCTTTTTAACATTTTTAAATTGTATTTTTGGGTCTTAAATATTGTTTCCTTTTTTTCAATTCTCGACCGATTAGCTACCTTCAACTTAACATTTTTTTTTTTTTTTTTTATCTGCCTCCTTTCTTAGATCCTACTGGCTCTTCTTTTCCTTAACTTCCTCATTTATTCTTTTATAATTTTTGTCTTTTAATTAACAAAACAACTTTTTAGAAATTAATTAACAAACTTGTAACAAACACTTCCCTTTCTCTTGCTGAACAATACTGGCTGCTACCTGAAAAATGAGGTTTCTTTTATTTTATGATTAACTGTCTATTAACCTTCCGCTTTTCACTTATTTGTTTGTTTCGCTGTTTACTGACCTTCTGCTTTTCACTTATTTATTTGTTTTGCTGTTTACTGACCTTCTGCTTTTCACTTATTGTTTCACTGTTTACTGACCTTCTGCTTTTCACTTATTTATTTGTTTCACTGTTTACTGACCTTCTGCTTTTCACTTATTTATTTGTTTCGCTGTTTACTGACCTTATGCTTTTCACTTATTTATTTGTTTCGCTGTTTACTAATCTTCTGCTTTTCACTTATTTATTTGTTTCGCTTTTTACTAATCTTCTGCTTTTCACTTATTTATTTGTTTCGCTGTTTACTGACCTTCAGCTTTTCACTTATTCGTCTGCTTCAATGTTTACTGAACTTCTGCTTTTTTTTGTTTATTTATATGTTTCAATGTTTACCGACCTTCTGCTTTTTGCTTATTTATATGTTTCAATGTTTACTGAACTTCTGCTTTTTGCTTATTTATATGTTTCAATGTTTACTGAACTTTTGCTTTTCGCTTATTTATGTTTCAATGTTTACTGAACTTCTGCTTTTCGCTTATTTATATGTTTCAATGTTTACTGAACTTCTGCTTTTTGCTTATTTATATGTTTCAATGTTTACTGAACTTCTGCTTTTTTGCTTATTTGTATGTTTCAATGTTTACCAACCTTCTGCTTTTTGCTTATTTATATGTTTCAATGTTTACTGAACTTCTGCTTTTCGCTTATTTATATGTTTCAATGTTTACTGAACTTCTGCCTGTTTGCTTATTTATATGTTTCAATGTTTACTGAACTTCTGCTTTTTGCTTATTTATATGTTTCAATGTTTACTGACCTTCTGCTTTTTTTTGCTTATTTATATTTTTCAATGTTTACAGACTTTCTGCTTTTTTGCTTATTTATATGTTTCAATGTTTACAGACTTTCTGCTTTTTTGCTTATTTATATGTTTCAATGTTTACTGAACTTCTGCTTTTCGCTTATTTATATGTTTCAATGTTTACTGAACTTCTGCCTGTTTGCTTATTTATATGTTTCAATGTTTACAGACCTTCTGCTTTTTTTTTGCTTATTTATATGTTTCAATGTTTACAGACTTTCTGCTTTTTTGCTTATTTATATGTTTCAATGTTTACAGACTTTCTGCTTTTTTGCTTATTTATATGTTTCAATGTTTACTGAACTTCTGCTTTTCGCTTATTTATATGTTTCAATGTTTACTGAACTTCTGCCTGTTTGCTTATTTATATGTTTCAATGTTTACAGACCTTCTGCTTTTTTTTTGCTTATTTATATGTTTCAATGTTTACAGACTTTCTGCTTTTTTGCTTATTTATATGTTTCAATGTTTACCGACTTTCTGCTTTTTATTTATTAATCTGTTCACTGTCTAGTGACCTTCCACATTTCATTATTCTTCTTCTTTATTCACCGGCTGTAAGCTCCTGCAGAAAGTCCTGGCTGTTCGTCCATTTGGACTTTGGCTTTGTACCAGGGCCTGAATTTTGCGTGTACATCAGTTTTACTGGCTTATTAGTGTGCAGCTGGTTGTTCCTTGCCGCTGACAAATGCACTCCGACTCTGAAGGAAGTCCCCAGTTAGTCGACTCCCACAACATGCTTGTTGGGGAGGCAGTGGGTCTTGTTTTTCCCCCACAATGGGGTCCCAGAACTAACACAGGGAACTTTTCATTACTGACCTGTTTCACTGTGTACTGACCCTCCAGTTTTCATTTATTTATCTGTTTCACTGTCTAGTGACATTCCACTGACATATAATTCTTGCTTTTCCCATATATTTTCCTATTCCTGTCAACATACCCTATTGCTGCCCCTTTTCTTACAATTTCTTACTCATTTTACTTACATTTGCTGTTCCCCTTCCTCCATATACATTCAACCTTCTTCGTGTATACATTTAACATTCCTACCATACACATTTAACCTTTCTCTCATTCTCTCAAACTTCTCATCTCCCCACACATTCTTCCCATACTCTCAAATTTCCGCACATTTGCTTTTCCTAGGATCCCATTCTCTCAACCTTCCGTCCATATGCTTTTCCTTGTTTAACATACTCTCAATCTTCCGCCCATATGCTTTCCCCTAGCTCCCATACTCTCCCTACCTCATATGTCCACATAATACCTGGTCTCCAGTGAGAGCATATGCTGACAGAAGCCCACCCACAAATCTGATATTTGTTTCAAACACTGACAGATCTGCTGACTGAAACATGAAAAAAAAAGATGGTGTTACTGTGATAGTGGTAATGTTAAAACACGAGAAATACAGATGATCTTACTGCGATAGTGGTCATGTTGAAATGTGAGAAATACAGATAGTGTTACTGTGATAGTAGTAATGTTAAAACATGAGAAATACAGATGGTGTAACTGTGACAGTATTAATGTTGAAATATGAGAAATACAGATGGTGTTACTGCGACCGTGGTAATGTTGAAATGTGAGAAATACAGAAGGTGTAACTGCGATAGTATTAATGTTGAAATATGAGAAATACAGATGGTGTTACTGCGACCGTGGTAATGTTGAAATGTGAGAAGACAGAAGGTGTTACTGTGATAGTAGTAATGTTAAAACATGAGAAATACAGATGGTGTAACTGTGATAGTATTAATGTTGAAATATGAGAAATACAGATGGTGTTACTGCGACCGTGGTAATGTTGAAATGTGAGAAATACAGAAGATGAACCTATAACAGTAGTAATGTTGAAACATAAGAAATACAGATGGTGTTACTGCGATAGTGGTAATGTTGAAATGTGAGAAATACAGAAGGTGTTACTGTGGTAGTAGTAATGTTGAAACATGAGACATACAGATGGTGTTACTGTGATAGTGGTAAACTGAAACATGAGCAACACAAAGAGTGTTACTGTGATAGCGGTAATGCTGAAACACAAGAAACATAAAAGGTGTTATTGTGAAAGTGGTAATGCAAGTAAGATATGGCTGAAACTCTCCATTCATGGTCCACTGACTGGTCTCTTTCTGACTTCTTCTCCAATGTTTTTAATCTTGGAGCATCTCTGACTATTCAAACATTTTGACATTTTTTGTTTCTTCTTGTCACTTTTGATGAACAAAGCAGGCATGAAAAGTGGCCATTCATTTGTCAGAAAACACAATGAGGTTCAAACTCTTGTCTGTGGGTACAAGCCTGAACCACCTGTCATGCAACAACACCTGTGAACCACTTGTCTTCTAACATGAGAACCACTTGTCTTCTAAGATGTGAACCACTTGTCTTCTAACATGTGAACTACTTATCTTCTAACATGTGAACAACTAGTCTTCTAACATGAGAACCATTTGTCTTTTAACATGTGAACAACTTGTCTTCTAACATGTGAACCACTTGTCTTCTAACATGTGAACCACTTGTCTTCTAACATGAGAACCACTTGTCTTCTAACATGTGAACCACTTGTCTTCTAACATGAGAACCACTTGTCTTCTAACATGTGAACCACTTGTCTTCTAACATGTGAACCACTTGTCTTCTAACATGTGAACCACTTGTCTTCTAACATGTGAACCATTTGTCTTCTAACATGTGAACCACTTGTCTTCTAATATGTGAACCACTTGTCTTCTAACATGTGAACCACTTGTCTTCTAACATGTGAACCACTTGTCTTCTAACATGTGTACCACTTGTCTTCTAACATGTGTACCACTTGTCTTCTAACATGTGTACCACTTGTCTTCTAACATGAGAACCACTTGTCTTCTAACATGTGAACCACTTGTCTTCTAACATGTGAACCACTTTTCTAACATGAGAACCACTTGTCTTCTAACAAGTGAACCACTTGACTTCTAACATGTGAACCACTTGTCTTCTAACATGTGAACCACTTTTCTAACATGAGAACCACTTGTCTTCTAACATGTGAACCACTTGACTTCTAACTTGTGAACCACTTGACTTCTAACATGTGAAACCTTTTGTCTGACTATACATATGAATTACTTACTTACTGACTACACATACAAACAATTTGTCTACTGACTACACATATGAAGCCACTTGTCATGTGAATCACTTATCTTCTCACATGTGAACCACTTGTCTAACTAAACAGGTGAACCACCTATCATCTGGCTACACATGTTAAACACGTAACTACTGACTACACAAGTAAACCACTTATCATATGACTACACATGTGAACCACTTGTCATCTGAGCAAAAGTAAACCATTTGCCTACTGACTAGACATGTGAACCACCTATCATCTGACTACATATGTAAACCACCTATCATCTGACTACACATTTAAACCACCTATCATATGACTACATATGTGAACTACCTATTACCTGACTACACATGTGAAACACCTATCATCTGACTACACATGTGAACCACCTATTGTCTGACTACATATGTGAATCACCTATCATCTGACTGCATACGTGAATCACCTGTCATCTGAACGCAAGTAAACCTACTGTGCCTACTGACTACCCATATGAACCACCTGTCATCTGGCTACACTTGCTAACCACATATCACCTGACTATACATTTGTACCACTTATCATCTGGTTCCACACATGAACCACTTTCTAACCACACATGTCAACCATTTGCCATTATGTGAACCACTTGTCTTTTAACATGTAAACCACTTGTCTTCTAGCATGTTAACCACTTGTTTGACTATAACCATTTGCCATTTGACTTCAATGTAAAACCACTTGCAACTGCACTTTGTGATTTATGAATCTCATAAACAGTTTTTTTTTTAATCTGGTCCCCCCCCCCCCCATACCCCTTCACCCCCCCCCCCCCCAAAGGTGGCTGGCACACTGTGCTGTTATCAGCTAGGCTGTGATATCCGCACCTTTTGACCCAACACATTCAATCACAGAAAACCCTTAATTAGTCCCTTTTAACAATGTGCTTGTAAAGGGGACAGTGGGTACCTCCCCCCCCCCCTTTCCCCCATAGGACACTGGAACATACAGAACAAACAAGTGAAGTGACTTACAATGTCAAAATTTAAATTCTGTGCAATCCAGTCTCTGGCATCACCATACTGATCATGTAACTCCATGATGTATAATGTATCCACAGCATCTACAATAGTTGTGCCCAGGGAGTTGGCCCCAAATATCCCTTCAAGGTTTGGCCGTTTGGAAACTGGGCGGTGCTCGTTAGCTCCCCACCCATATTTTTTGTAGCCATTCCATGCATGCAGCATCATCTGAAACATGTTACAATGACACATAATGTCAAAGATGAAACCATGAGTGCACAATTACAACATGTAAGATTAGATGTATAAGAAATGCGCCCGAAAAATCAGAACAAACAAAGTCACCAACACAAAATTAATAACAGCAGAATAGACATTGTACCAGTGAATGATTTCAATGAAAATCAAAGAATCAAGTGATTTGGTCATTTGATCAGAATGGAACAAAATCAGCCAGCAGTTAGTGCGTACTACATGAGAACAACAGGCTACAAGGCAAGAGACCAACCAAGAAAGATATGGATGGAGAGATTCAAAGAGATACTACAGAAACACAATATGACACTATCGCAAGCTATGCAACTAGCAAAAGACAGAAAACTACGCATAACTCCTCACTGTAAAGCTTTAAGACACAACAGTAGAATAAAAGAAGAAGAAGAGTAAAAGATTACAACAGGAGCAAAATCTTTTCACACCACACCCGCCCGAGTTTTTCCTACTGGTGTCATCAATGGCTTTTTTTTTTTAATAACCATCATCATCAAGTGCCTTGTTGATGGGGTGGGTGATCATGCCTCTCCACAACTTGTGATCTCCTACACAGCATGTATAAGTTCTCCATGCCATGCAGTGAAAGGCTGTGAAGAATCTTCTTGCGTTGTCTTCCTCTGTCTGGCCTTCCAGAAAAATTGACTGTCTCCTTCTAATGTGTGTGATAAGTTGTCTTCAGGTCCTCGCCTCTTTCAAAACATCTCCAAGTTCTTGTTAACAATACTTGGGATTTTTATATTTGTCCTCTTTTTAATCAATTTTTACTATTAAGATGGGGGGTGGGAGTCTTGCCACATATTCATGGGAAAAAAAGGGGGGGGGGGGGGTGTGCCATATACTCAAGGTGTGGAGGGGGGAGCCGACTGAAAAAGGTTGGACACCACCTCTTTAGACAACCTTAAGCTGCAAAAACCTAATTAATCATGAACAAGACCACAAAGTGCAGAGTGTGAGTTGTCTAAGGGCAGATGCTTCATTAGAAGATGTCAAGATGGAGGTAGCAAAGAAGGAATTGGAGGACAAGAAAGAAGCAGAGAAGGAGATGGAGAAGGATGAGAAAGATGAGGTTCAAAGAAGGTGGAGGAGGGGTTAGTAGCATTCTCCCCTATAATGATTAATGAGAACTGCTAATAGTCTTCTTTTTCTTCTGCTTACCCTTTTAAAGTGCAACTGGAACTGGGTGTTGTGGTTAACAGCTAGGTTATGATATATGCACCTGTCAATCCAACACATCCGACTTGAACAAACCCCTAAACAGTTACCTTTAGCAACACGCTTATTTTGGGCAGTGGATCTACTCTTTCATTTTTTTTTTTAGTCTTGTAACTGAAGCGCGGTAACCACATGGGGACTATAGAGTTTGGTAATAGCTACCAATAATCCAAATGCTTTTTTTTTTTCTGGCAGTAAGCAATGGTAGGCAATAGTGGCACCTTTTTTCTGGGCATTATTTTTTCATTGCTACTGAGGTGAGTGCCAGCACATTTTTATTCAGAAAAAAAAAAAAGCCTTGGTACTAAGTACTCAGTTTGGTATTTATTACAGTTAAGTGCCATGAGAGAGGTCAAGGACAGACCAGGAATACTAGTTGGAGGTTATAATGTAAACAATCTTCATTATGCAGATGATACAGTATTAATAGCTGAAAATGCAGAAGACCTACAAAAACTGTTAGACTATGGTACTCATCATCAGCAACATGTGCCCTGCCAACTGGCGTAAGCGCTCGTGCGTCTCCACAGATCACGATCCCTGGTTACCTGGAACAGCTCTCTTGATGATATCCCTCCATGCCATCGTTTCAGCCCATCCAGCATCATCTCTCTTGGTCTGCCTCTACCCCTTTTTCCACTGATCTTTCCAGCTGTCATAATGTTCTCCAATGTCTCTCTTCTCATTATGTGACCATAGAAGAGTGTTTTGTCTTTCTTTTTGCTATATATAAAGATCTACTTTCATTAGCTTCTTTCAAGCAATTGTTGTTAGTTACTCTGGCCATCCAAGGTATTCGTAACATTCGTCTCAGAAACCACATCTCTGTTGCTTCCAAATTCTTCTTAATTTGTTCACTGATATTCCAAGATTCGCTGCCATACAGCAGAACAGGTTCTATGTAACCTTTTAGCACACTCCTACTGACACTATTATGGTAGTAGAGAGTGCCAAAAAAAAGGACTTTCTTTGAATGTCAAGAAAACAGACACAATGATTAAATCAAAGAAGAAGATAAGTTCAAAAGGTGACATAGCAATAGAAGGGAAGGCGCTTAACCAAGTCAAAAAAATTCAAGTGTTTGGGGACATTCATAACATCAGATGGACGATGTAAGACAGAAATTAAATTGGCCAGGCAAAGGTAGTTTTTCAGAAGATGAGGAGTATCACTCACTAAACATTAAAAAAACGAGTACTGAAATGTTACGTCAAGCCTGTTCTGTTGGCAGTGAATTTTGGAATGTGAGCAAACAAAATAAGAAACGTTTGGAGGCAACTGAGATGTGGTTCTTGGGAAGAATGTTGCAAATACATTGGACTGATAGAATAACTAACAATGATTGCCTGTAAATGGCCAATGAAAATAGAACATTATATACAACAATGAAAAGGAGAAACAAGTTCTTTGGTCATGTGATGAGAAAGGGAGCACTGGAAAAAATTTTGATGAGTGGAAAGATCACTGGTAGAAGAGGCAGCGGCGGACCAAGAGAAATGATGATGGATGGCTCAAGACAGAGACTAGAGACATGGAGGAATATCATTAGTGGAACTGGGAACACCAATATGTGGAGATGCATGAACGCCTAGGACAGCTTGGCAAGGCACTTGATGATGATGATGATGAAGTGCGATGACTGCTTACCTCTTTGATTTTATCTCTTTGCACCTTTACGTCTGGATCTGATGGCATGCCCCCTCTTCCACCTAAATGACCCTCATGATCCTTATTAACTTTCTTTAACTTCTCTAATTCTTTGCGTTTTATTTCTTCTTTCATTTCCCTGTACTTTTTCAAAAACAGTTCTTTATCACTCTGGATCTCACTTTTCAGTGCGCCTGCATTATCGGGCGAAAGCATCATTTTTGAGACCAAGACATTAAGTTTATTATGTTCACCAGGCGGTTGTGTTTCTGACTTTATTTTGTCTAAACCGCGCAAATACGAACTATTGTGTGCTTCAATTCTGAACAGGTCCTCTCTAAATGACACAGTTCCTTCTTTCTCCCTTTTAATTTTACTCCCGAAAACTTTTTCTTGGAAATTGGGAAGAAATAAAAATGCGCAGGTAAAAACTATCGTGAAAATCCCAAACAAGAACAATATAATATATTTGTCCTGCAGTCGTAATGTCTTTCTCTTCAAGTGGACCGGTACACCGTTGATGTATCGTTGGTACAAGGGTAACGAGTGTGCCGGTCTAGCTGCCATCTTGGGACAGCTGCATCCCGCAGTGAAGGAATTTATTTAGCAGACGGCACACGGTGGAAAGTCAATTAGATGCCGTCTCCTCAGTAAAGGTTGGCTCCAGTCTATCTATCTATCTATCTATCTATCTATCTATCTATCTATCTATCTATCTATCTATCTATCTATCTATCTATCTATCTATCTATCTATCTATCTATCTATCTATCTTTTTCACTCCTTTCCTTCCTTCTTTCCTTCCTTCCTTACTTCCATTCATTAGTCCCTTCCTGGCTGCTTAAAGTTAAAGTCGAGAGGATCGACGTCATTGCACCGGTTTTTGTTCTTTATGGCTTAGTCTCCTTTATCAGAACGGCTAGCCCCACAAAGCACGAACTCCCTAGCCCAAGCGATGGTCTCCGGGGATCTCTGGAAATAATTGCATTCGTGAACTAAACGACGTAGCCGGGAAACGAACCTACGACTTTCAGAACGCGAAGCAAACGGCATGACCACTTCGCCACAGAGACCCCCCAGACTGCTACCGAATATTGTGATACCTTGTATTACAAAATATTATGAATGTTAGACCAATACGGCAAATCCTAGATACCTGGTTCAACCTTCAAAGAATTTATAATTAACTTCGCCACAGAGACCCCCCAGACTGCTACCGAATATTGTGATACCTTGTATTACAAAATATTATGAATGTTAGACCAATACGGCAAATCCTAGATACCTGGTTCAACCTTCAAAGAATTTATAATTAACTTGTTCAGTCCCACAATGAACTTAAATTTGTGACAACAGAGATGACATGTCGTAGAAGAGCTGCAGGAGTTTCAAGGAAAGACATAATTTGAAATCACGAAATCGGACGAATGCTAGGAAAAAAGCCAGTCTTACGTGTCATCAAAGAACAGCAATGAAGTGGTTTGAACACCTAACAAAAATGCCCTGGTACTATCTACTACAGCGAGCCTTACTGAAACGTTACGACGAGCATAGAGCGAGCGGAAGACCTCGGTAAACATGGAGTGATGGCATTTATAACAGCCTTACAGAAATGAACATCAATCTTGAAAGAGCTCATCAACGAACGTTACATCTCCACCCGACACTTCGCTGAGGTACAAGATGGAAAAGAAGAAGAAGGAGAAGAAGTCCCACAATGTGCTAGCTAATGTCCGATCGAGTTACGAATGGCAATACTAAACTCATGAGTAGACTGTGTCTTGAGAGGGCAAACATACAACCCTTGCAAGAAACAAATATGCTTTCAGTTCTTTAGAATCTGTAACTAAACATAAGAATATGAAAACGTGCATAACATGTTGACTGGTAAATGTGAGTAATACCCAGTCACACAAAGTCCGTTGTTTGGGGCAGAATGAGTTGGAGCACCCTTAACAGCCACACCAGCCATGTTTAACCTGCAGCCTTTCTCTACCTCTCTCTCTCTCTCTCTTTCTATCTCTCTCTCTCTTTCTCTCTCTCTCTCTCTCTCTCTCTCTCTCTCTCTCTCTTTCTCTCTCTCTCTCTCTCTCTCTCTGTGTATGTGTGTGTGTGTGTGTGTGTATGTGTGTGTGTGTGTCCCAACCCCGTCCCATTTTGTTTTCCCCCTGTTTCCCATCCGTGTTGCTACCCAAGGTTGTGACACTCTGAAACTAGAAAATGTCAGTATAGATGGCAGACCAACAGGGTGAATCGTAGATGCCCCGTTCAAATTAGAAAGAAATTATGGTTAGGGTACCCAGAACAGCTACATTAGACAGTCTTAACCTGTAATCTCTCTCCCCCCCCTCTCTCTCTCTTTATCCCTCTCCCCCTCTCTCTCCCTCTCTCTCTCCCTCTCTCTCTCCCCCCACTCTCTCTCTTTATCCCTCTCCCCCTCTCTCTCTTTATCCCTCTCCCCTCTCTCTCTTTATCCCTCTCCCCTCTCTCTCTTTATCGCTCCCCTCTCTCTCTTTCTCCCTCTCCCCCTCTCATCTCCCTTCTACCTATTCTGACCTCTCCCCCCCTCCTCTCTTTTTATCCCTCTCCCCTCTCTCCCTCTCCCCCTCTCTCTCCCTCTCTCTCTCCTCTCTCTCTCTCTCTTTATCCCTCTCCCCCTCTCTCTCTCTCCCTCTCTCTCTCCCCCTCTCTCTCTCTCTTTCTCCCTCTCTCTCCCCCTCTCCCTCTCTCTCTCCCCTCCGTCTCTCTTTCTCTCTCTCCCCACTCTCTCTCCCCTCTCCCTCTCGCTCTTTATCCCTCTCCACTCCCTCTCTCTTTCTCTCTCTCTCTTTCTCCCTCTCCCCTTCTCTCTCTCCCCCCTCTCTCTCTCTTTATCCCTCTCCTCTCTCTCTCTTTATCCTTCTCCTCTCTCTCTCTTTCTCCCTCTCTCCCCCTCTTCTCTCTCTCTCCCCCTCTATCTCTCTACCCCCCGCCCTCGCCTCAGAGAGGGAGGGAGAAACTTTCTCCCTCTACCCCTCTCTCTCTCTTTCTCACCTTCTCCCTCAACTTCTCCTCTTCTCTCCCTCCGCCCCTCGCTCTCTCTCTTTCTCCCTCTCCCCCTCTCTCTCTTTCTCCATCACCCCCTCTCGCTCTCCCTCTCCCCCTCTCTCTCTTTCTCTCGCTCTCCCCCCCCCCTATCTCTCTCGCTCTTTCTCCCTCTCCCCCCTCTCTCTCTCCTCTCCCCTCTCTCTCTCTTTCTGTTCTCCCCTCTCCCTCGTCTCTCTCTCTCTTCTCCCTTCTCCCCCCCCTCTCTCTCTTTCTCCCTCTCCCCCTCTCTCTCTTTCTCCCTCTCCCCCTCTCTCTCTTTTTCTCCCTCTCCCCTCTCTCTCCTCTCTCTCTCTTTCTCCCCCTCTCTCTCTCCCTCAGCCCTCTATCTCTCTCCCCCCTATCTCTCTCTTTTTCTCCCTCTACCCCTCTCTCTCTTTCTCCCTGTCCCTCCTCTCATCATCTTCTCGTCTCCTCCTCCTTCTCTCTCTCTCTCTCTTTCTCCCTCTCCCCCTCTCTCTCTTTCTTTCTCCCTCTCCCCCTCTCTCTCTTTCTCCCTCTCCCCCTCTCTCTCTCCCCTCTCTCTCTTTCCCCCTCTCTCTCTTTCCCCCTCTCTCCCTCTCCCCCTCTCTTTTTCTCCTTCCCCCCCTCTCTCTCTTTCTCCCTCTCCCTCCTCTCCTCTCTCTTTTCTCTCTCTCCCCCTTCTCTCTCCTCCTCTCCCCCCTCCCCTCTCTCTTTTTCTCCCCCTCCACCCACGCTCTCGCTCTCTTTCTCCCTCCCTCCCCCCCCTCTCCTCTCTCTCTCTCTTTCTCCCTCGTCCCTTCTTCTCTCTTCCTTTTTTCCTCTCTCACCCTCTCTCTCTTTCTCCCTCTCCCCTCTCTTCTCTCTTTTTCCCTCCCACCTCTCTCTCTCTTTCTCCCCTCCCCCTCTTCTCTCTCTTTTTCCTCTCTCTCATTCCCCCTCTCTCTCTCGCCTCTCTCCTTCTCTCCCGCTCCTCTCTCTGCCTCTCTCTCCCTCTCTGCCCCTCTCTCTCTCCCCCTCTCTCTTTCTCCCTCTCCCCCTCTCTCTCTCTCTTTCTCCCTCTCTCCACCTCCCCTCGATCCTCTCCTCTTTTCCTTTCTCTCTCTTCTTCTCCCCCCTCCCCCCCCCCAGCTCTCTCTCTTTTTCCCCTCTCTCCCTCTCCCCCTCTCCTCCATCTCGCCCCCTCCCTCTCCTCTCTCTATTTCCTCCAGTCTCCTCCCTCTCTCTCCCTCGCCCTCTCTCTCTTCCACCTCTCTCCCCCTCTCGCTTCCCCTTTCCTCTCTCCCTCTCTCTCTCCTCTCCACCCTCCCTCTCTTCCCTCTCCCCCTTCTCCTCCCCCATTCTCCTCTCCCTCTTTCTCTCCCTCTCCCCCTCCCTCTCTCTCCCTCTCCAACCCCTTCTCTCTCTTTCTCCCTCTCCCCTCCCTCTCTCTCCCTCTCCCCCTCACTCTCTCTCCCTTCCCCCTCTCTCTCTCTCTCTTGCTCCCTCTCCCCTCCCTCTCTCTCCCTCTCCCCCCCACTCTCTCGCTCTTCCCCCTCTCTCCCTCTCTCTATCTTGGGGCTCCCTCTCCCCTCCCTTTCTATCCCTCTCCCCCCTCTCTCTCCTCTCTCTTCCCCCTCTCTCTCTTCTCTCCACTCCTTTCTCTCCCCAAACCTCTATTACGCCTTTTTCTCCCTCCATCCCCTTCCCATAACTTTACCTAGTATCCATTTAGGGTTGGGTCGACCAGGAAGCTGGTGTCATTTTTTTTTTTTGGGGGGGAAAAAAGTCCGATAAATGTAGTAACAATTAAAGTTACCGTTCAGAGAATCTGACTTAATTACACCGACTTATTACAAATTCCTATTCTGTTTCGCAATGACAACATTCAGCCATGATACTGGGAAGCCATGTTTACTGTACCACTTCAATTATGAGTTATGAGTTAGATTATCTTCACAGCACTCCGGACACATCCATAGGCACTCAGATTAACCTCTCAACATATTCATCAGCGTCGGGCGGTTAATAGTGCCAGTCCTGTGTTGGTTAACAAGATTTCGTGTGCGTCCGGTGTGCTTCTCATGCTTGGCTGTGCCGATCTTTACTTCCAGTTCGCGTATTCTTAGCAGTAATGTGGACACGTTGCTTCCAAAATCCTCAGAACGTCCTATCTCTAAGGCCAATGACAATGCGTGATTTATCGGCCGGCCATCTTCAATTAATGCAGCACCTGCCAGTCTATCAACTCTTTCATTACCAACAACGTCCGCATACCCTGGAACGAATATGAAGGTGTGCACACACAGGAGAGTTTTTCAGTGACTCAAACCACTGTCTGCCTAACCAGCTTGCCTCAACCAGCCGAATCATGCTCAGAGTCACTCAGCGCGCACACACACACACACACACACACACACACAGACACACACACACACACACACACAGACACACACAGACACACACAGACACACACAGACACACACAGACACACACACAGACACACACACAGACACACACACAGACACACACACACAGACATA